TTTCTTAGCATTGAGAACGTGTGATCATAAGCATGTGGGAGACATAGGCATGTGGGGTTGAGCATGACTGTGACAGAAGGAGACACAATTCATATTTTGGGCAATGGGAAGTTATTTAAAATTAGTACCATCAGCCCTAGCTGGTTTAGCTTAGTGAATAAAGCCTTGGCCTGAAGAATGAGGAGTTGCTGGTTTGATTCCAGCCAGGGGCACATGCCTGGGTTGTGGGCTTGATCTCCCAGTAGGGGGCGTGCAGGAGGCAACCAATCAATGATTCTCATCATTGATGTTTCTATCACTCTCTCCCTCTTCCTTCCTCTCTAAAATCAATAATTAGAACCATCATGCCCTGGATGGTTAGTTCAGTTGTTAGAACATTGTTCTGATATGCCAAGGTTGTAGATTCAATCTCCAGTCATGGTACATAAAAGAATCAACCAGTGAATGTATAAAAAAGTGGAACAGCAAACCAATGTGTGTGTCTCTCTCAAACTAATACATTAAAAATTGAAAATATAAAATTAGCACCATCACAAGGTGTTTTAAGTTGGTTTATACTGGTGAAAAGAATATATAAGGAGTTCCTATCTATTTTTTAAAAAATCAAAGTTGAAAATGAATAAAAACACTTCTTAACTGAGCATTTTAGCAATTTTGGGGGGGCATATTCATAGGTCAATTTTTTTTTTATTTCTCAAATCTCAGAGGAAAAACAGCCTGATCACTGTATTTTCTGCTCTGTGTTGGTTGGTATATAATACCAAACAACATATATATGTATGTATGTTTATGTATATATAAATATGGAAGTTCTCTTACCCACAGAAGACACAGCCTGAGGCTCCTAGGGCTTGGGGTAATATGTGAACCAAAGCAAATAATTTAGGGAGAAGCAGAAGGACATTTTTTTAGGCAGTTTTTAAATGTATATTTTAGGAGCTTATAAATATTTTGCAATATTTATGCGAGTGGATTGAGTTGCCTTTGGAATAGGAATTTTAAAAAATGTTAACATGTCCCAACCCAATGGGGAATAAATAGGAGAGCAAAGGGCACTTGTGTGTTCTTCCTAGCCTGCCTTTACCATCACCAAGTAGCAGAAAAATGTTCCAGAAACTCAGTCTTGGGTTTTCTAGTGAGTTACTGCTACTTGTGAGGTTGAGACTAGAGAGGGGGAGTTGGGGGGGAGACTCAGACAGAGCAAGCACTGTTTATTATACAGTTTATACTGATATAATAAATTATATGTCCCCCATGCCCTCATGAAACCTCAGGGAGACTCCTGCTTGCCTTAGAAATCAGGAAAACTCCTCGAGATGTTTCAGAAGCAAAGAGGAAGTGTGAAGTCTCCCAGATGTGCAGTTTCCAGTGGGGTCATTTTGAGCAACTAATCTAAGTGATTAGGTAGTCTTCTCAATTTTACAGATAAGGAGCAATCCTTGGAACAGCCATGTTATTCATTGACATACTTTGTAATTATAGATATGCATGTAGGAATGGCATGCTTGGGACAGTCATATGTTATTCATTGACATACGTTTTACCAGTAGATGTCTGTGTAACAATGTCATGCTGGAACCACATTTGACACTTGGATAAGGAGCAGATATTCTAACCATATCTTAGAGAATTCTGGCAGGAATGGAGTGATTGAGAAACTATTGACCATGAAATGGCCAGGTTAAGAGAGACAATCAAGGGATAGTGATCTAAGTTTGAGTAATGCCTATTATTTCTTTTTTCCCCTTTTCTTTCTGTTTTGCTTTATAGCCCTATAAGTATGATGTATTGAGTTATAGTATGAAATGATCAAATCCTGAGACAAACAATTATAATGAAAGATATAATAATGTTACCATCAGTGTTTTCAAATAGGCATAGATATCCAATTGAGTGTTCCCCAGATGGGAGGCTTTGATATGAAAGTTATGTCAAGGTCAAATAAAGTATATAAGAACTCAGCTCTCTCCTGAGCCTGCCCACTGCCTGGGTAGATTAGATTTCCCAGAATACTCTTGGGCCTTACCAGCTACTCAAATGATGCAGGGACTTGAACTTCTCACCTTTTACAGACAGATGATTGAATTAGACTATAGGAGTTTAAAAACAAAACAAAACAGAATTACTACTTGAGTGGGTAAGAGTGTAGCGCATCCTCAGTTTGAACTGAACCTCTATGATGTCCCTGGGTTAGAAGTAAGGAGGAATTATCTTTAATCTGAATAGTTCTCTTTCATTTGGGCCAGAGGTACAATACATATCCATTCATTAGGAATATACTAGGCTAGTCATGATCATTTTTTTAATGGGGAGGGGAATCCTATGATACAGACTTCAGTAAAAATGCAGGGCACAGAAAAAATATAATATTCTTATAGTAAGATAGATGGCTAATCTTTGAAATAGAAATAATTGCAATATCAATTAATATGGAACTAAGTTACCCATAATACACTCATAAATGAATAAGGATGCACCTATAAGAAGTAATAAATTTAACTTCTATGTGCTAACAAGAAAATCTCAGTCTGGCCAGCATGGCTCAGTGGTTGAGCATTGACCTATGGACCAGAAGGTCATGGTTCAATTCCTGGTCAGGCACATTCCTGGATTTCTGGCTTGATCCCCATTGTGAGGCATGCAGGAGGCAGCCAGTTCATGATTCTCTCTCATCATCGATGTTTCTCTCTTCCTCTTCCTTCCTCTCTGAAATCAATAAAAATATACTTAAAAGAAAATATCACAAAGACATCCATTGTGTGAATTAATGCTTATATCATGATCACATTTGTGGATAAATGTTTATAGACATATGTATATTTGTATGCATATTCAAGTAATGGCTTTAGAGTTATACACATATGTTTATCTAGGAAAAAAATTAGAAGGGTAGAGAGAGGACAAAATTCAGATTTTCAGAATAAGTTCAGGCCCTATGCAAATGTTGAATCTTTAACAAGAAAATTAAATTATTAGTACACTTGACAAAGAGGCAGATAGATAAAGCCCTGAAAATAAATTAGAAGGAAAAACCACTTATTTTAGCACAGATGATTTTAGGTTATTCCATATGATTTTTAAAATGCTTAAAACATTACCCTGTCTTCATGATCTTTATGTTTTTCTTAAGTATTTACTTCTTTTACAATAGAGGTGTAAGTAAACAATTAAAGTATAAATGTAGTTGAAAAAAATAGTACGTTGGGATTTAGACACTTGCCTATGTTAATTCTGATGGGTATCTTATTCATCTGAGTTGATTCCAAGAATGCATTTACTTCTTCCATTTCAAATGTACTTGTGAGCTTCAGAATAATTTATCTTTGACCTCAGAGCCTTCCAGCTATTTGTGTATTTACTCCTCTTGTAGGGGAATTGGAGCCCGTGATAAATTGTAGGATTCTTTTACTTGCAGGGTTTCCCTGGGTAGTTGAGGCTGTGTTATGATTTATACTTTAATTTGGTAGGCAAGAGTATGCCATTCAGTTTACTTTGGAATGTATATTTTTGCAAGTTTTAAAAAAAGACGTGATAAAATGGATTTTTGCAAGTTATCTACTGCTGTCTATGAGTCTAATCTTTCTTAGTGTTGACATCACAAACACATTCCAGTGAAATGTCAAATTGTGTGAGCGGGGACTTCTATGTGTTTATGTATTTGTGGTGTGTGTGTGTGTGTGTGTGTGTGTGTGTGTGTGTATATGTGTGTGTGGTGTGAGAGAGACAGAGAGTGTGTGTGAGAGAGAGAGAGGTATTTATACATTTATTTTTGAATGAACTGTCTGCTTGAAAATCATTCTTCCATTTCTCTCTCCATCAGCAATTATAAAAACTGCCCTTCCCAACATGGACAGAGAAGCCAAGGAGGAATACCTGGTCGTCATCCAAGCCAAAGATATGGGTGGACACTCCGGGGGCCTGTCTGGGACCACGACACTGACAGTGACTCTTAGTGATGTTAACGACAATCCTCCAAAATTTGCCCAGAGTAAGTGTATTTCCTACACTGGATGAGAATCTAAGTATGATGTCATTCGAATTTATAATTTTCATTATTTATATTTATATTACAATTAATATATGTTTTAATTATTCTATAAAGTTCAGATTTATATGATAAACACCCAAAAAGCCAATTGCCATCTTTAGTGTGGTTTATATACAGAGTATGGCAATTCACATATATACACCAAACAAGCAACCCTCTTGTCATTTGGTACTAAATGCACCCTTCTTTTACAAAGTTTAAATAAATTGAAATATTTTCCAAATATTGAGTATGTATGTAGTTAAAGTCTTGGAGCTGCAACTTCAAGATGTGAGCATATTTCTCTATTCCATGGTTCCTTCCATTAAGAAATTTTGATAGAGTGATTAAATGCACCTCCGATATTGTTCTATCAATAGTCCTACTTGTCATATAAACTAAACTATATCTTCAGCATCTGAGGTAAAAAAGGCATATACAATTGCTGCAAAATAAATACTTTTCCTCAGCTGAGGGAACACCAGTGATCACTGACTGGACTCTTCCCTGCTAAGGACATAATCAGCCTCAGAAAACTCTCCACAGCCTTCTAGGCCACCGCCATCAATGAATCAGGGAGACCATCATCATTTGCCAACATTCTTGTACTCTCATTGAATCCTTTTTCTTTTGAGTATTGGTCAGTGTAACTGGATCTCGAGAGATGATTGGGGAAGGCCTTTCTGGCATGGAGACTCTTGAGTTGAGGCATGAATGATGATTAGGAATTAGCGAAGACAAGGTCAGATCAAGAGATTGGGGGATGGGCATTGCACCTAGAGGAAAAAGCAGTCCAAACATCCTGTAGAAGAGCCGGTAGGGCCCTGCATGAGAATGGATAGAATTTCACAGCAGGGGAAGCACAGAAGGTGGAGAGTTAGTTTAGGCAAGAGTTAGATGTACTGGATTTGTAGTCCTTTGTAAGTACCATGAGTTTTACCCTAACAGCCCTGGGAAGCATTAAAAGATTTAAAGTTGAGCCAGGCCAATGTGGTTCAGTGGTTGAGCAGTGACCTGTGAACCAGTAGGTCACGGTTCGATTCCAGGCCAGGGCACATGCCCAGGTTGTGGCCTTATTTCCCAGTAGGTGGTGTGCAGGAGGCAGCTGATCAATGATTCTCTCTATCAATGTTTCTATCTCTCCCTTTCCCTTCCTCTATCAAATCAATAAAAATATATATTAAAAAAATAAGTTGAAAAAATGAGAGAAAAGATTTTAAATGGTAGCTTGAGTAATAGGATTTGATTTCAGGGAAATCAGAGAAAATGATAGCTGGCCTTTGCCCAGTGTCTTCCCCACAGGGCAGCTGGTTAACAGGTGGTTGTAGTCATTCATGTCAAAGTGATGGTAGTCTTGGCAAGCCAGGGTATCTCAGTGGAAGTGGAGAAAGGTGCATAGTTGCAATAGATATTTGAGAGGTTAGGATAACAAAAATCTAAGGAGAGATTGCATTTTTAGTTGAGGAGGTGAATTATCACATTCCTGACATGAAAGACTATTAGATGCATACTGGTACATTTTGCTGGGATGGGAAATACCACAGGAGAACCAGTTGTTGAAGTAAGAGAGCGATGAGAGGACAGAAAGAAAGACAGGGAGAGAGACAGAGAGGTGGGATTGCAAATGACACAGTTGAGGTACCTTTGAGAATTTATCTTCCAAAATTTCAAGGTAGAAGGAACATGAAGGCTGCATTTTCACTGAGAAATTTCACATCATTCATAAACCAGACAACAAGGCGACCCCTTTAACAAGGTTCTTGGAATGGAGAAATACCATTTCTCCCATCCTTCCCCCAGACTCTTCTTTCTTTGTCAGTTGCCATTAGAGTTAATGCTCTAAGTTGCAACTCTTCTTTCTTGCAAAAAGGATTGTTTCACTTCAGCGGTGGCAGATGAGTTTCAGAAGTGTTAATAACTTTCTTAAAGGTAATAACCATTACACATGATCACATTGTTAGAGATGATGGGAGTTCACAGAATAGAGATAGCTAAAGAATTGTTCCATTTGCTTGGTTTCCCAAGGCTCTCTGCATCAGGACAGGCATTGAGGTGAGGTCCCTTGCTGCCTTATTTACTTAATAGCTATCCCTGAATGGAGCATCTCAAACCTTACCTGGAATAAGCAGTCTGAGGGAAATGGAATCGTTGCACCAATTATGAGAGAATTGGGAAACTTATACTTAACAGTATGATTTTCAGTGCATGCCTTATGGCAAAACTATTAGGAAAACATTTTGTTCCCCAGTCCCGTGGTCGGCAAACTGTGGCTCTTGAGCCACATGCGGCTCTTTGGCACCTTGAGTGTGGCTCTTCCACAAAACACCACGGCCTGGGCGAGTCTATTTTGAAGAAGTGGTGTTAGAAGAAGTTTTAAGTTTAAAAGATTTGGCTCTCAAAAAGAAATTTCATTCGCTGTACTGTTGATATTGGGCTCTGTTGACTAATAAGTTTGCCCACCACTGGCCCAGTCCCATCATTTCATGACTCTAAGGGACATCCTTCTGTTGCCATTAAATAAAAGGAAGTTTGTGCTAGAAGGAATCCTTCCCTATCATCTCAACTAATCTTGTTACAGTGGGTAAAATGAGCCCGAGTTTTTCCCAGGGACCCAGTGATTGAGTTCAAACCACAATTAAGCCTAGATGTAATTTTTCCCTGGATGTAATTTTTCCTTTTGGGTTTATAGTTTATCCAGTGTTCATTCTCCCCTTGTTTTTGTTGCAGTGGGACTAACATGTCCTGGTTGTCTGGCTTTGGATTCCCCAGAAACAGGCACTGAGACAAGAATTTGATTATAAGTAGTTTATCTCAGAGATGAAGCCAAGGAATGCCAGGAGGGAGGTGAGGATGGGAGAGAGAGAAAGACAGGGAGCCAAAGATACACATTACAGAGCCAGCTACCGCTGTGCGGGACTGGAGCTTAGCCCACTGGGGAAAACTCTGGAACACTGTAAATTAAATAAACAAGCAAAAGGGAAAAAAAAAGAGTAGAAATGTTACCCTACCAGAGAAGGGAGGAAGCTGGGATGGGAACGCTGGTGAGCGGTTTGAAGGCTGCTTCTGTGGGGCATTCATTTCTCTCCTGTTCTGGTCTGTCAGGCAGGGCCACAGTGGATTCTGAAAGCCAGAGAAAACCCTCAGGCAAAGAAAGGCAGGAATTGGCAAATGAAATGCAGGGCACATAGGCACTGAAGTGGTAAGAGCCAGGGGTCATGTTTCCAAAAGCTTCCCCTCCACCAAAGAGAAGGAGGCACACTAAGGCAGCAGCCAAAGGATCTGAATGAAGATGCCACTAATTAGCCATGTTTTACGGTGCCCACAGGAGAAGCAACACACACTGTAATTGTATTTTGCCTGGAGAGTTTGGAAAGTAGGGTTTCCGGTTGTTCAGAGCAGCGAGGAGGGACTTGGGTAACAAACCAGAGGAGTGTTTTGTGTGTTGGAACAGCTTGCTGCAGGGCACAGCGGAAGTTTAGTAATTGGGTTTTATCAAACACGGTCTACGAGTCTGTAAATACAGAGGTCACCACAAAAGTGACTTTCTGTGCCTTACACGTTGCATCTTCCTGTGCTGAAATTAGCTTACTGTTTTATGGTGGGGAACAACGAATAGCCCCACGGGCAACCGATGTGATTGTACAATCCATTGGAAAGAACTCTCACATAGATTCACCTACATCGTGCTATCCAACTACACACTTGGTGCACGTGTGATAGGATAAATTCCATATCTCAGAAGAGTCTCAATAAGACTTCACGCCTTCTGGGAACTCTGTCTCTGATTCATTGAAAATACTGTGCATTCCACAACAAAAATAATTTGAAACATCTTTTCCACATTGTAGTGGTAGCATTTGCACAAGTGCCCAGAAGAATGGAGGTGCCCAATAAATACCGTGTTTCCCCGAAAATAAGACATCCTCTGAAAATAAGACCTAGCGCAACTTTGGGAGAAAAAATTAATATAAGACACTGTCTTATTTTCGGGGAAACAGGGTATTTGCTAAATGAATGATTGAATGAATGAATGGAATCTACACAGTGCTCAGTGTTTGTCCTCTTTCCTAAGGTCTGTATCACTTCTCAGTACCTGAAGATGTGGTTCTTGGCACTGCCATAGGCAGGGTAAAAGCCAATGATCAGGATATTGGTGAAAATGCACAGTCGTCGTATGACATCATAGATGGGGATGGCACAGCAATCTTTGAAATCACCTCTGATGCCCAGGCTCAGGATGGCATTATAAGACTAAGAAAGGTAAGCTGAGAAAGATTTTGTTCACATTCAGAATACCTCTTGGGAACTTGAGTTTCGGGGTTTGTGGGAGTTGGGTGGACTCTCTGATGAAGTCTTAGAGCAGGTAGAGGTGTCTCTTCTTTAGCTGCAAAGTGGAGCTAATTTTACACCTTATACCTCTTGGCCCCACTTTGCATTATCAGCCAAAGCTCTGGGAAAGAGTTGCCATGGTGATGCTAGCCACCAATTTCATCTTATCTCTCCCATCTACATCACACTGCCTTTTCCAAGGAATGTGTAGGGAACTCAACACTTGAAAGGCAACTCTCAAGCAATGAGGGGTGCAGGTAGGGGGACAGCTCCTATTCTTTGAAGAAATTATTTTGAGGCATATTGTCTATGGTTCCGAAGAGGATTTCCAGTGGGAAGAAGCCTCACTTGCCCACAGAGTTGGCGAGTTCAATGGCTTTTAATGTTTCGCTATATTAATTCTCCTCACGGCTGCCCTCCAGCTTCCTGGTATGTCTCCACAAATCACACTGAAGTCTTTCTTTTTAATATGTTTTTATTGATTTCAGAGAGGAAGGGAGAGAGCGAGAGAGAGAGAAATATCAACGAGAGAATATCATTGATCGGCTGCCTCCTGCACATCCCTTGACTGGGATTTGAGCACACAACCTGGGTTTGTGACTTGACCTTAAATCAAACCATTACCTCCTATGCATAGGTCAATGCTCAATCACTAAGCCACACCAGCCAGGCTCATCATGGGTATTTAGTTTAATGTTATCCTTCATATCTCTGTCATGAAATAGTACAAATTAATCTGTAATAATAAAAGTGTAATATGCTAATTAGACTGGACAGACCTTCTGGACTTCAAACTGGACATCCTTCTGGACAAAGCCACTGTGGTGGAGGTGAGGCAGAGGATATTAGGGCCAATCAGGCAGGCAGGTGAGCAGTTAGGGCAATCAGGCATGCAGGTGAGTGGTTAGGGGTGATTGGGCAGGCAGGCAATTGGGCAGGCAGGCAGGCCAGCGGTTAGGAGTCAGCAGTCCTGGATTGTGAGAGGGGTCCTAGATTGCCAAAGGATGCAGGACAGACTGAGGTAGACTTCCCCTCCATGCATGAATTTTGTGCACCAGGCCTCTGGTTTTTAAGTAGTTTTGCTTGTTCATGAATAAGAAGATAGATGGTGATCCACACCATTGGGAGCCCATAATTTTTCCCTCTGTCCTGATCAGTATTACACTGAAATAGCTCCAAAGTACTCTGTAATTCTGTGTTATATTGCATAGAGATCTGCAATCCACTGCTCATGCTCTTAAAATCCCCTGTTGAAGAGATAGTGGCATGTTCTGGATTCACCTTTTTATACAAAATACAATTTAAGATCAATTTTGAGAAAAACAATGCATTTATTTCAACTGTCTTTTTGAGCAACCCTACCTTTATACATGGCTTTAGTTTAGGATTCAGCATTGCAAAGTGTTTAAAAATAGAGTACAGTATAATTATGCTCGAGTCAATTATTGAATAATCCAAAGCCACATTTCTCTTGGCTAATGATTCCTAATGTCATTTTTATTGTTATTACTAACTGCCATCCGTTGTTGCCACAAGGTGCTTTTATAAGCTGAAGCAATTAGCCATTGGCTGTATTTTTATTCACAATTATTCATAAACTTAGAAGCATATACTACACATTTTAATACCAAGAAAACACATGTATTTTTCTCTAGAGAACATTGTGGAGGGGGTCATATTTTCACCATTCATGGGATCTCTTTTTTGTCGGATAAAACCCTAAGGACACCAGGATTTGGGGGGACACTGTCACTCTATTAAGCTAAGAATTAAATTGAACACAATCTGTCATACTTACCAGTGTTTCTGAAGAACTTGAAATTGCAAATGCGTTACAGTAGGGATGGTTGGCAAAATGCTGATGTTCAGTCCTCTCCTCACAGGTATGATACATGCATCTAGTCATTTTAGAATAGACAGGGAAGTGAGCATCTGCCTTGTTTCCTAGAAAATATTTCAGAAAAAGTCAAGTCCCATTAGATCTGAATTCAACTATAAAAATCAATACAAAATTTGAAATGATATCTAAACTTATACAGGAGTTGTGAAAGAGTTCATGAATGCTGGCTTGTGTTCCAGCTTTTTTTTTTTTAATTTCTTTATTAATTGAGGTATTAATGTGTCCTTATTCCCCATTATCCTCCCCCCCCCCCATTTATGTCCTTACCCCCTGTTGTCTGTCTATTGGTTAGGCTTATATGTATGCATACAAGTCCTTTGGTTGATCTCTCCCCATTACCCCCACCCTCCCCTACCTTCCCTCAGCTTCTTCTCTCTCTTTTTTTTTTTCTCTTTTTTTAAAATATATTTTTTATTGATTTTTTACAGAGAGAGAGAGAGAGAGAGAGAGAGAGAGAGAGAGAGAGAGAGAGCTAGAAACGTCGATGAGAGAGAACCATCGACCAGTTGCCTCCTGCACACCTCTTACCGGGATGTGCTCGCAACCAATGTACATGCCCCTGACCAGAATCAAACCCGGGACCCCCCAGTCCGCAGACCAGACCGATGCTCTACCACTGAGCCAAACCAGTTTCCGCAGCTTCTTCTTCCATTTTTTTTTAAATCTGCATTGCAGATTGAAAGTTCTGTTTCTCAGAGGAAATTGCAAAGAAACCTAAATTGTGTCTTTGAACCTTGACAAATGTACTTTCTTGAAGTCTGAAGTGTTCTGCATTGCTGGGAATTGGACCATAGGGTTGCCAAGCAGATGCCCTCCGATTATTTAAGGGGATTATGTTCTTTCACCCAGCTATATTTACCTAGGTCATTAACCACAGTCTCTGGGACTTTTAAGGAATGAGTTATTAATATGTCAAAACTATTGTCAGTAATGGTGCAATGAGGTCATTTCAATTTGCTTTTAGTGGTTGGTTGAAACCTAGGGAGCTATAGCTACTCATCTTTCCTTCTTCTAAATATAAAAACAAGGACATATGTGTCTGCATATATATTTATTTACATGCCCACCTGCTTCATAGCACAGGACTCATTCTAAGAATACCCCCCAAAAAAGTAAACTGTGCAGGCCTGCATGGCTCAGTGGTTGAGCGTTGACCTCTGAACCAAGATCATGGTTCGATTCCCGGTCATGTTTGGGTTGAGGTAATAGTTTGATTCCAGTCAGGGTGTGCCCTGGTTGTGGGCTCAATCCCCAGTTGGAAGTGGCAGTGGGAGGGAGTGCAGAAAGCAGCCAATCAATGACTCTTTCTCATTGATGTTTCTATCTCTCTCTCACCCCCTCTCCCTTCCTCTCTGAAACCAATAAAAACATATTTTAAAAAATAAAAAATAAATGATAAATCTCATTTTTAGCCCCATGATCAGTCAAGTGGCAATGCTTTGCAAGTGAAATAAGAAAGCGCTCTTTGTTGAGATTAGTGCTAAATTATGCTTTATAATGTCTCCTCGCCCTAAACAATGATTATTCCTCGCTCTTCACATTTCACATGCTGTTGCAGAAATGCTAAAATATTCTTCCCAGATCGAGATAGTGTTTGATGCCACCTTATCTCTTCCCAGCAGAGGCTCAATTAACTCGGCTGATTGGTATGCAGGTCGTGGTATCCCTAGTAAAATTTTATTAGGACGCCGAAGTGAAATTTTGATGGCACAATTCATGACTGTGACTATTCTGTGCATTTCCAAGAGAAATGAGCAAAACAAAAATGCAACAATAGGAGGCTAGGTTTCCACCGAGCTTGGATAATACACAGACATCCATAAAAGCCCGTACAATTTACAGGTTGGATCTGGGGGAACGGAGAGGGATCCCATTAGGCCTCACACATGGGCTTCCGTGCACATAGTGATAATCCATCAGCATTATACTCATTTGTTCTTGCTGCTGTGGTCATTAGTGAGCCACATTCGTCTTTGTCATTTCTTAACAGCCTCTGGACTTTGAGACCAAAAAATCCTATACGCTGAAGGTGGAGGCCGCTAATGTCCACGTCGACCCGCGATTCAGTGGCAGGGGGCCCTTCAAAGACACGGCCACGGTCAAAATTGTCGTGGAGGATGCCGATGAGCCTCCTGTCTTCTCTTCACCCACCTATCTCCTCGAAGTTCATGAAAACGCCGCCCTGAACTCCGTGATTGGGCAAGTGACCGCGCGGGACCCTGATATCACTGCCAGCCCTATCAGGTACATGTCTCTTCCTGGCTATCTCAGATGACAAGCACATCCGTATAAGATGCAATGACATGTGCAACCTATGTGGTTGCCTTAGGGACTAACCTCACATGATCAAAGAATTTTGGTCAATGCCTATTGTGTGTGCATATGCATGTGAACATGGGTGCATGCATACATGTGTACACACACACATACACACACATCAACCCAAAGCTACATACAATGCCCAAAGCCAAGGATATCAGGGTGAAATCAGGGTGAACACAGCTCTTCTGGCGTGCAGAGAGCTCAGTGAGAATGCAAAATTGTATCCATTTTCGGATACATTTGAGTGGATCTTTTATATTATTTTGTTTTTGCTTGTTTATACATTTCCTTTTTTTTTTTCTAGCATTGCTGGATTTTCTCTCTCCATTGACAGTTCCAGTAAATTATATATGAGAATTTAGAGGCATGAGACCACAGTCTCAACATATTAAGAGGCCTCTCTTCTATTTCTTATTTCTGTATCTGGTGTTTTGCTTTGCAATTATCTGGGCATTTCTGGTTGGTCAGCATATCTGGACTGGAGACTCTTAGATAAAATCTTCCTCTGCCATTTCAAAAATATATTTTGTTTATACTTTCCCTGCTCAGAATTCTTTCTTGAGATGAGAACCGATCCTTTATTAAAGTTTTTCTGCCTTTTTTTCCAAAATGAGACTCAAACCTATTTTTTTCTGTTGAACTGCGCACAACTTTTCTCTTTGGCCAGTCACCCCAATGACAGTACAGTGCTCAAGCTAAATAGCTTTTTTCCCCCAAAAGCACACTGCAAATCTATAACTTGTACACTGGCCTCCAAGGGTGAAGTGTTGGCTAATGATGTGTTTGAGAGTGGATTTCAACTATAGTCTTAGAAATGTTTGCTGTAAAAAAGAGACAGGAAACTTAATGGAGGAATACAGTTTTAGAGAATTGTCCAGTTATTCTGTAAGTCAGCTCATACCCAGTGTGTTCCCTTGGGTTACGGGCATTCATGTCCTTCTAATTTCTTTATTCAGAGAAACTCTAGACAAATGAGTTAATTTATTTATTACATCCTCATCCCTCACAAGAGTACTGACATGATGAGGTTGGAGGGGCAACTCAGCAAAATAGCCAGTCAGTGCCCCAAATGATTTGAGTTTGGGCACAAAATAATTATATTTTTTGGAACCAGAAAAGATATTTTCAACACAAACCATTTCTAAATTCAGGATAATATAGAGTGTATCCCATAAGGATACAAAAAAAAATGTTTTCTTCAAAAGAGCCCAAACTCTAAGAAGGTTAAACTTCACCTGGGGATTTGAGGAATGGGCAGTTCAGTTGTCCATTCTCAGTTCTAAAGGAATTCACCAAGCTGTAGACATACAGAATGGCCTGCATTTGGCTAAGAGACTTACATCTCTCTAAGAGTCAAGTGTTAAATACAGCAGCAGGAGGTATCCAGAAAAATACATTACTATGGATATCCATTTTCTGACCAAATCCTGAAATGACTTCGTCTTGAAATCCTGTGAGAGTCCTAGCTAGTTTGCTTGGTGGATAAAGCATTGGCTTACGACTGAAGGGTCATGGGTTCGATTCCAGTCCAGGGCACGACCCCCAGTTGTGGGTGTGCAGGAGGCTGCCGACCAATGCAGTGATTCTCTCTCATCATTGATGTTTCTATCTCTCTCGCCCTCACCCTTCCTCTCTGAAATCAATATATATATATTAATATTAAATCCTGTTATGAATTAGGATTTTTTTGAATGAATGAATCTTTCCCATTTTCATGTCACTCCATTTCCTCTGAAAAAAAAGAAAAAGAAAAAAAATATGACAGAGAAAGGGGCAATGGCCAGGGTCTGCACATCTCCAAGTGTAAGTGACAGCATGTGAAGGAAATAAGCAAGATTGGTCCAACTGAGAGGGCTGTCATGGGGCCTGTTTGGCACTTGATTTGACAAGATTTCTGCTCTTGTTAGCAGGGAACACACAGGGGGTTCAAGAGTATGCCAAGCCAAGGGCCCTTCAGGGGCACAAGGAGTTCAAATATCAGGCCAATCAGCTCCAAACATGAAATCCGTGGTCCCAGCAGGAACTGACTTCTCTCGCGGAGGCATGGTCTTAATCAGCTAGCGATGGGGTTGGAGGGACATTTCATACCATAGTGACAGCTCCAATCGGCAGATCTGGGTACAAATCCAGGTTCATCTTTGCCCCATCAGTTTTTGCACATTTTATAACCTATTTCTTTATTGGTGTTCAAATGGACAGTCACTGGTAACAATTCCAGTTCACAGGGAATCGAGGGATGATTATCATTGTAGTTGATTGTTATTTTTTAAATATATTTTATTGATTTCAGAGAGGAAGGGAGAGGGGCAAGAGAGATGGAATCATTGATGAGAGAGAATCATTCATCAGCTGCCTCCTGCATACCCCACACTGGGGAATGAGCCCACAACCAGGGAGTGTGCCCTGACCGGGAATCAAACAGTGACCTTCTGGTTCATAGGTAGACACTCAGCCATTGAGACACATGGGTTGGGTTTTGTTGTTATTTTTATTATTGTCACTAGTATGAATGGAGGCATAGAGAAGGCATGAAACTGCTTAGCAACAATTGCCCAACTTGAGAGTATTTTGTTTTGGGACAAATCAAAGGGAATTTGGGGTGGTGTTACCCGGAAGAGATGAACAGATAAAGTACCATTTGATGACACGGATGGATCTATACTTCTGATAGATGTCAGGCAGGTGCTGGTTTCTTGACATCTATGGTCCTTCCCCAAGAAGGGGCGGATGCTGTGTCAGAGCAACTCCAATAGGCTGAGATGTGTTCTTCCCAAAGCCCCATACAGGTCTGATTGGACATGGAATCACCAAGGGCATTTTCCAGCATCTGGTCTGCATTTTGGTAGTTGCACCCCAACCCCCACCATCTGAGTCATGGAGAGAAGCTCCCCCCCCCCCCCCAATGCACAATCAGTTGGTTTGAGTAGAAAATTAAATTTCCTGGTGAGCCAGGGCACTGCATAGCTCCTTATGAGCCTAGCAGACAGATTCAGAGCCATGTAACCTTTTAAAACAGAACTAGAGGATGTAGGTATTCGGGGAATTACTGAGAAATAAAGAGCAAAGCACTGCTGCCTCTTTAGGACTGTTGCATTTTATATACTGACAAGAACGTATGCATCTTTTGAGGGAATGTTTACGTGGCCATCTGGCAGGAAATAGGCATTTATTGTGTCATCTGCTGTGTTAAAACATGCGGTCATTTATTGGTTGGTTGACTCTCTGTCCAAAGACTCAATAACTTTTTCAAGCACATTGTCAAGCAGGAAATATTATGTATTTTGCAATTTTTATACTTAACCCTATACATATAAGTATATACACACACATGTATACACATACATATATATATCTATATATACCTATATATATCTATAGCTATATTCACAGCTATATATCTATAATTATATATCTATGTCTATATCATCTATATCTATATCTATATCTACCTACCTCTATATCTACCTATCTCGATCTATATATACCTATCTCAATCTGTATCTACCAATCTCTATATCTGTCTATATCTATATCTATCTATCTCTCTCTTTATATATATATATATATATATATATATATATACCTATCTCTTTATATCTATCTATCTATCTATCTATATCCATATATACCTATCTCTATATATCTATACCTATCTCTATTTATCTATGTCTACATCTATATCTCTACCTATATCTATATTGATATCTACATTTACATAATCTATATCTGTATCTGTATCTATGTCTATGTCTATATTCATATACTCCCTTTCAGGGAAAAATAGGCAAATCCATGGTCTTCCCATCTCCCTGCTAGGAACATTAATTAAACATTTGTTACTTTCTTCAATACCAGATGCTTCCCAGTAATAGAGCATGAAGTTCTGTAAATGATTTGAAAAATTACCTCACTTGAACTGAGACTGAGGTTTCAATCCTATCACTGATTCTTCCCTGTTGGTTCGCTGGTCTCTGGAATTCTCTGAGACTCAGTTTCCTCACCTGTGTATTGGAATAATATCATCTTCCTCACAGGGTTACTGAGATAATTAAGTGAAGCCATTCAATAAAATAGATGGTAGCAATTAGTCTTACCAGTTAATAAAGACACCATCAATGTCATATGGTAAATGCAGATTGAATAACCTAGTACTTATTTTAGCAGATATTCTTCTACTAAAGGTCACTTAATGGACACAGAATGACCTGTTTTTGTTTTTTGATAGTTATAGGCTAAATAGTCTAACCTCATTTAATCTCATTTTCCCCTGCTACTGCTGTGAATATTATCACTAGTGAGTGCTTATTAATATGTGGCCGGGAGATTCTAAATATACTCATTTTATTCCCTAATACCTCTGTGAAATGACATATATGCTCATTATCCTCATTGAACAGTTGCAGAAACTGAGGATAAAAATATTCATTTGCCCTAGTTGAGTGGTCTGCAAACTCATTAGTCAACAGAGCCAAATATCAACAGTACAACGATTAAAATTTCTCTTGAGAGCCAAATTTTTTAAACTTAAACTTCTTCAAAATAGACTCGCCCAGGCAGAAAACTGACTTCTGCGTATGGGCCACGAAGTTTCAATAGCACTGTACGTGTGCGCCCACAAGTGATATTTTGTGGAAGAGCCACACTCAAGGGGCCAAAATGCCGTATGTGGCTAGCGAATCGCGGTTTACTGACCACTGCCCTAGCTGGTCATTAGCTAGATTATTGGCATGAGAACTGAAGGGTCCTGGGTTTAGTTTCAGTCAAGGACATGTACCTTGGTTGCAGGCTTGATCTCTGGCCCCAGTCTGATCTCATGTGGGAGGCAACCAATTGACATGTCTCTCTCACATCCATCTCTCTATCTTTCTCTCTCTCTCTCCCTCTTTTTCCCTCTCTCCCTCCCTTCCACTCTCTCTAAAAAT